CCAGGACCTCTCCAGCTCTTGATCTTGCCTTTGTTCCTGTCTTGGTAGCTAGCTCTGACCATGCTGTGAATTCCTGTGAAATGCTTCTATTTTCTAGCAAGTTTGCAGATTTCTGTAGTGTGCTAAGCACAGGATTTTATATTTCATCAAGAAAAAGTAAAACTGCCTGTTCATCTCCTTTTAGGCTTTCTGGGATTCCCAGAGCAAAAGCATTTATCCCTTGCATAATCCTGCATTGCTTTCGGATTGTGTGATAGGTTAAGGTCCTCTCCGGGAGTGCTTTTGCAGAAGCAGCACGCGATAGCGGTGCTTTGGTGTGCCACAAGGAACTGCCTGCAAGCACGGTTTCCTAAATCTTCACATTTCTTCTGAATGCGGAGAGAGCGCAGTAGAGGCACAGCACTAGGAAAAGGCAATTCTTTCCCTCTAAAGATTTTTAGTCTTTGCTATGTTAAAGTTTGGGACTGTTCAGAAATAACTGATTCTGTTGCGTTTCCTCAGTGCAGTGATCAGGACACACAATTTTCTTGACCTGCTCCATCTGAGGGAAAAAAAATAATAAAATAAAAACTGAGGATGTTATTTCTGAAGCTTGCTTGCTGCTGGGAGTTTTGTGTCCTATTTGGCAACAACCTGACAGGTAACTTGATTCACTGTGATGAAACTGCGGAGAAATTGAAATGAGATTTAAACAGGATATAATGTTGAAGTTTCAGCTTTGATCTTTATTTCACTAACAGTTCTGCTGCTTGTCACTGGACTGGAAATGCCCAGTTAAAGTGTTTTTGGTCCTCAGAGGAGACACATTTCTGATCAAGTACCATCTTGCAGAGTGAGGTTAGATGAAGTGCAATTCCCTGACGTGGTTTGTGGGTCACTGTTCTTAACATCCTTTGGAAGTCCTAGACACATCTCTTGTCCAGTTACATTTAAAATGAGAAGAAGAGAAGGGAAGACACTGGATTTCTTGCTGTGTACCAGCCTCACCTCCTGCTCTGTCGATTCAGAGCCAGCAAGCTTGGGGTGATGCTACGGCCAAGACCTGCTCTAAACCAAATCTTGGTACTCATTAAGCAGTACAGTCCTTAAGATGAACAGAAGGTGCTCTTTGAGTGCTCTGGCATGGTAGGATAGCTTATTTCCTTTCTGCACTAGGAACTCCTTGCCCTGGTAACCATCACAGCAATGCCATCATTGTGTCCCTTCTGCTTGTGCCACCTGAACTGCGTCCGAGTCTCCGTTGTACAAAAAAAAAAAAGCTTTGTATAGAGATCTCCCGGCTAGATTGTCTAGGAACACGTTAAAGATGTAGGAAGCGGTGCTGGGGTGCAGTAGGAGACACTGATACACATCCAGCAGCCTGGGTTGGTGGGAATATTTTGTCTAAGAGATGGTTCTGTGTCACAGGGTCCTGCTCTGGTTTGACAGGCCCATGAGAAATTCAACTTAGGCATTTAGGTTTTCTGACTCCCCCATCCTCCAAATCAGGAGGCTCATCCTAATGAGATGATGTGTTGCAGAGAGCATTAAAAGGTGTAGATGGGGCAAGCCAATACAGAGCTTAAATAATTAGCAATAATTTCTGTTACACTGGCCTGGAAGATTTTTGCATAAGTGAGTGACAGAGTTGCTTAGGTTCCATCTCGGCAAAACTCTCCCTGGCAAATTCTCTCTTGAGAGCTTACAACTCTTGCTTGAGCCAATAAACTGAAAACCGCATCCAAAACCATCAGGTATGCCTTGATATCACAGAATGCAGGGAAAGCTTCCTTGCGTGGGGAAGCCTCAGACAGCCTGTCGTTCCATGGTTAACTTGAAAGCTGCTTATATTTAAACATGGACTGTTATTTTATGATTTGTCACTTTGAGAGGCCTTTGCAGGGACCTATTCCAAAAATGTCAGGGTCTGAACAGCATGTCCCTAAATTTCTAAACATTCTTCTGATATTAAAGGGTCAGTTTCCCCAGGGTGAAATCTGGAGAGGGAAGGAAGAAAATTTTACAACTCTACAGAAAGTAGTAATGGGAACTTTTATTTTTGTTTGCCATCGCTTTTTGATTCAGCTGTAAGTATTCTTCATTGAAAAGTGACTTTTATTTTCTCTTTTTAGATGCAGAGATTGGCTGGCCTAGAGAGACTGTTCAGGAAGCTCTGAGCTCACTGATGGGGTTGAGAAAGACTAGGGACACTGCAAATCTTGAACTCCAGTACTGAAAACGTTCGACTTTTAATGCGTACATTGCACCAGTCTCTAACTTGTGGCTGCATGAAAACCTCATGGTAGCAGTTGGAGGCAGCCAAATGGCTCCTGGAGATACGGTGACGGTTCTGTTATCTGCAGTAGCTTTACTGTCACATGAAAAGCAAAAGCACCACAACCTGATGCTTCTCAGCTGTGGAGCTGGCTTGGACCAGCTCCAGAGCTCATGGCCAGGTGGCAGCTGTGCAGGCTCGGTGCGGAGGGATGATAATAGCACGGAGCTGTAAACAGGACGCTCCACCCTGCCTCGGCGCCTCTCCCGCGTCCTCCTCCTTCTGCCCGAAACACTGCTGTGCACACAGCCTTTGCACCCTAAGGAAGGGCAACCTGCCTCCAGCAGCACCCTGCCCTGCATCTCCTGGCTGCCCCCTGCCCTTTGGGCTTCCCGGTGCTGCTTAAAAACAAATGGAATTGTTCGGTAGCAGAGTTGCACTTCATGAAAAGGAAGGACGGTTCTTGCTGTTCATACATTAATAGCTTTAGGTGTTTGTCAGCTGTCGTATACAATTGATGCAGGAGGCCAGGTTATCTCTGCTCTCGGTCGTGTCTCTTCTCGAGGTCCTTTCAGGCTGGTTTTGACTGCGTTGCCCTGTTGAAGGTTTGGAGTACAAAGTTGAGCCCAGTCGCTCTGGGTGCGATGGTTATATCAAAGGGGGGTCTCTTGGAGAGCTTTGTGGGTGACGTGTGCTGTCAAAGCAGCGGGGGAGGGGGGCTGCCGTATGGCAGGAGCCTTTGGTTCTTCTGCCGGCAGCCTTGTTGGGGAGAGCAGCATGAGCCAGCTGAAGTCGTACGTAATGGAAATGCAAGTAACGTAGCCTGTGGGGGCAATGAGGCACTGAAGAGGAAGCTGCAAATACTAACGAGTTTCTAAATTAGAGTTAGTGGTAGCTGTCTTACTGTTAACTGTTGGGCGCAGGGAGTGTGCCTTGACATGCCAGCTGGACCCAACACAATAAGCCTTTAATCCAGTGTGGACCTTATGAGGTGTGGCTGTCATGCAAGGACTAATGCTTCTCTCGCCCTCCCACCTGGCTTTTTGTTCCTACCCTTTTCTCACCTAGAACTCGAATGCCACTGCTCAAATGGTGTTTTAGCTGATAAAAAGATGTATTTACCAGGCCATGTCACTGGAACAGTCTCAGCGTGGGCCTGCCATGGGTGCTGCAACACCTTTGTATACAGAGGTATTTGGCAAACACAACATAGTGCTTAACAGTTTTAATGCTGGTTTTAGTGTGGTTAACTCAGGTTACCTGCCTGCCATGCCCTCGTTTTGAGGAGGAAGGAGAGAATGTCTGTACACAAAGCACCTGGAGCAGAGAGCTGTGCATGGCCTTAATATCTTGCCAGGAGGCCACAGGGCTGGTTCTAATGTGCGTGGTAATTTGCATGTCTAATCAAAATGAAGTGCAAACAGAACTTTGCTGCTGGCTTGAACTTGCCTCTTGCTTGTTGCCTTTTTGGTTTTGACGACAACACCTTTTTTCAGCTGCAAGGGTGACGACAGGGCTGCAGAAAAGGGCAGCTGTGCTGTCTGCTCATGGTCCATGCGTTGATCCCATCTGGTTTGGAGTTGGCCAGGGTGCGATGGAGAAGACGGGGAGGGCGTAGCAAAGTGCATGCTGTATGTCTGCCCTTGTCGTAGCCTGCCAAGAGAGACACTGGGCTCTCCGTCCTTGTGATGGGATTGCGCTGGCTTACATCATTGCTGACACGCAAACTTAAACTAGTCTTATTTACAAAGCATTTCTGTTAATCATTCTAGCTACCGTTATGAAAGTAATGTCTGAACAGGCGGTGTGGCCATCTCATGGAAGCTGGGCAGACCCAGAGCTCCCGGATTTGAGCTCAGGCCCTGCCAGCGATGCGTTATGACAGTGAACAGGTTGCGCATCTCCCCATCTGGTCTTCGCTGAACGAGTGCACGCACCTGCTAATGACACCAAGCGCTCGTGCGGTCCCGCTGGAGGATCCAAAATTCTGCAGGTGTTCTCTTGGCCTCCTTGAAACTGGAAGTGAGCAATAGCACGCTTCCTTGGGGGAAACTGAGTCACACAGTCTCCCTTTCGCTGTTGGGTCTCACCATGGGTGAGAGCCTGGGTTCTCCGGCTAAGCATTGTGCCCCAGCTGGTAAGAAATACGGCTTTACAGACAGCGTAGTGTTGGTTTTTTTCCTACAGTGTTCATAGAGAAGCAGTATGGACCTGCTGAGTATCTCTCTCGGTTGTGTAGCAGCTACCTCGATGTTGACTGGAATGTCTAATTAATGATTTCAAGCAGCCACTTAAGGACTGCAATAAAATCTCTGCTTCTAGAGAAGCAATCTCTTGGTGATAAGCGTGAGTATGGGGCTCTGCAGCGGAGCAGAGGCGTCTATCGGAGGGCAGATTGGGCAGTCAATCCACCAGCCCTTGCTGGCCCACTCTCCTGAAGTGGTGTTTCTGTTGCTGCTTGTTTTCAAGAGCTGACTTGGAGCAGCAGAACTGCCCACGCTGAGGCTGGGCAGCTGCGTGGCCTTGGCAGGGAAGAGCTGCTGCAGTTGTGAGAGTGAGAATCCGCTGGGCACGTTAGAAGCAATAGGACTCTGGTTGCCGAAAAATAAATGGACTTCTTCAGGCTATACCGACTAGTTCCCTCCTTGCGGTCTTTGCAATGGATATGAGCTTGTTAATTGTGATAGCTGTTGCTGAATCTTGGCTTTGGAAGTCTAATCTTGTTTTCTTTTTCCCCCTTGTCTAGCTAGTGTTCCCTGTGCTGCTGCTGTTGAGAAGACCTGCCGTCCTTGGCAGCCCCATGTGCGACGCACCTCTTCCTTAGACACCATCGTGGGCTCCTACCTGTTGGGACAGTGGCCAAGGGACGCTGAAGGTGCTTCCGCTTCATGCATGAATGACAAAGCCACCCAGGTATAACTGCCTGCAGACTGCCCTTGAAGTCTCTGGGCTGGAAGAGGGCTGCAGAACAGAAATGAGCTGTGTAAACTGGGGGTGAATAGGGAAGGCATTAAATTTCCATCCGTCCAGCTGCAACTTTCTAGGAAGGCTTTTTTTTTTTCTTCCCCTTTTGCTTCTCAGCTTCAATTGATTCCACTTTGGTGCGGAGTTAGAATTTCCTTGGCCTTGTTTGGAGGCAGATGGCCTCTGGCTTTCTTCTCCAGTGCTGGCTCAATGCTAGATTTTTTTTTATTATTTTTTTTTCCCGGCTTGCGGTTCTGGGCCAAGTCCTTATATAAAGCTCATGGGCTGTGTGCCACGCGCTGCGAGAAGTCAAGGGTGCTCCCACAGAAGGGCTCACTAGCACAAGCGGCGTGGCTCTCCACTGCAAAATGGAAAAGCTCCAGACCTCGAGGAACTCTTAGCAACCTGTAAATATTACTGTATGGCAGCAAATAGTGCTTGCCTATCTGCAGAGGTGAAAGAATTTAGAAGGATAAGAGCATCCGTTTGTTTAACAAGTCATTTGTTTAGCACGTTCAGTCTCTGTTAACTTGCTGTTTGATCTTTGCTATTCAACAATTTATTACTGGGCTGTTTGCAGGAAATTCTCAATTGGATTCCAACTTCCATTGTCCTCTTCCAAAGTATTCTTGCTTGCTTTTGTTTCGGTTCTAGTGCCCAAGAGTGCTGCCGAGGGCAGAGGGCATGCTGGAAAGGAAGGGAAAGAATTTGTCTAACTTTATTTTTACTCTTCCTTTCTGTCTTCAGCAGCAGTGGTGGGAACACTTAACCCCAGTGTTTTGGGGCTAATTAGGTTTTTTTTGCACGTGGCCCTTTTGGGGAAAGGGTCGGAGAAGAGGGGCACCTCCTTCTTTCCAGAATGGAAGATACCACTGTGTTAATTCAGGCTCTACTGAGCATGGAGCCGATCACTCCTCTCTGCAGTGAACAGGCCAGGTGTGCCGCAGTCTTTCATCGGTTATCTGCAAGTGTCTTGCAAATGCTAATTTTACCTTGCAACATGCCTGTGAAATGAGCAGCGATCTCCACTGTTTCACACACAAACCTCTCCGTGTGTCATATGACTTGTCTGTTGAAAGCTGGGAATAAAGTCCTGGGTTCTAGCCTGCCCTCTGTATTAACAAAATGTTCCTCATCATGACTGCCAGGACTTTGCCACTCCTTCCATGTTTTCAGGCTTAATAGTTATCAAACTTGGGACTTTCTCTGCTAGCCAGTACATGTTTACCTCCCTCCTTATTCAGCTACTGATCAGCTGTTTTGCAGAGCTCTGTAGATTTGCTATCATAAGGTGGTTAAGTGAGCGATACAACTGCAGGTGCTCAGCGTGGGGGCGAGGATGGCAGCACTATACATGATTGGAGCTTGTGGCTTTATCTTGCTGTGCAAAGCATATTTTTTTTCTCTCCTTTTTCTGAGGAAGCGGTTTTGCCACAGTTAGTACAAAAGGTTCTGTAATTTCCTTCTGCCTTGACAGTCTGCCTGTGAGAGGTGGGACGCATATGCGCTCTTTATTTTCAGGCCCTCCTGTTGCAAACAGCGTCTTTTCTTCCTTTTTAGGCCCTCAGTTTTTTGTGAGCACCGCTGCAGTGCTCGGAGTATCACAGCAATACACTGCAGTAAGTGACTTCTCAAAACGGGTCAGGAGGCTTCCAGTGACTTGCGGAGGGTTTCTGTCACGTCCTGCAAAGCAGGACTGTTCTTAGCAGCTGGAGTTCAGCTTCCCACAGACTTGCTTCTTGCAGTAATGTGGGATAGGGCTGTGGTCTTGTGTCTTAAACCTTTGCCTCTTCTCCTTAGCTTTCTTATGCACATGATCTACTGGGATATAAAATGACACAATGTTTTGGGATAACAGCCAAATAATGATGTTTGAGTTGTTTAGGAGAGAATATTTGAGGTAGGAAATGAGATCAGATATGCCATGTGCTGAAACGGCAAGGTTGGTCTTTGCCGTAGGATTTCCTATCGCGTTGGTCTGTTCTTTAGCTCTGCTTGGCATGGTTCAGGGGTGGCACTGGGATGGCTGCGACCAACTGCTCTGAGCTTAGCAAGGACCACAGAGCATGGTTCAGGCTGAACGGTTTTCTTCTCTCAAACCAAACTGAGCACTGCGTTGAAACGAACTCTGCCGTGATGTCTGCTGCTTAGAGGCATTGCAGAATGGAGATCTAGAGAACAAATCGTTTTTGCTGTAGGGGACGCAGCGTGCTCTGCTTACAGTGGTGTGTGTGAGGAGGGGTTTCATTCAGAGCCTGTTAAGTCAGGAGAGGGTTGGATTTCTGCCTGGAAATCACCTGTATCCCTTTTCAGAAGGGAAACCTGGTACCTGTCTGGGTAACTTGCCTTGTTCCTTTGGTTTAAATAAATTTTAAAACCTGTTTTGAGAGAAGAGGCTTCTGTCATCCCCATGACTCAACAGGGTTGTTTAAAACAGCTGCTGTTCTTGCAGTAGCCTCTGGGGAGATCACTTAAGCTGCTTGGAGAGGAACTGTTCTCAGGCCCTTGCACCTTCTGGCAGGCTGTCGCTGAGGATGGAGGAGGGAAGGATCATCCAAAGCCTCCCACAGAAATGGCAGGCAGCAGTGACACACAGGGTGAGCGTTTTGAGAGGCGCTGAAATGTGATGTTGGGGAAAAAATGATGGCTGGTCTTGAAAATGATGTGCCTTGGGACTGTTACGGTCCTGGAGTCTGCTGAGAGGGAAGGAAGTTCACACCCTTTGCTGATCAGATTAACAGCCCTTTCTGATTCCCATTGATATTCAAAATGTAGCTGTTGCTTGGAAAACAGCTGTGTAATGTGGTGCTGAGGCTGTTTTTCTGCATGAAGAGAGTCAGCTGAGCGCTGCCAGCCCTGCAGACAGAGGGATGTGAGCTGGAGAGGCAGCTGGGTTCTTCCAGCGCTCCGGCAGCAGCGGCAGCAGTCACTCTGCAGGCCAAACTCTGGTTTTGGTTACGCCTTTGAACTCCGATTCGGGAGCCTGAGGTCTCAGAAGCAAGTTGTGCGTTCTCACAGTTGGGTGAGGCTTTTCCTCTCGGTAATGCTTCTTCGTACAATGAGTGCCTGAAACCCTACGTCACCCTTCATCAGGCGGGCGCCTGTGCGAGCAGCGCAGGGGGTGGTTGTGGTTGTGTCTCTGGAGTAGTGGTTTGGTGCCCTTGTCTCGGCAGGTACTTGTGGTGATCAAGCCACTGACTTCTGGGCGAGTCTCTTGCCGTGTAGGTCTGTGAGGTCCAGTTTCCTGATAGGCACAAATCTGGCCAAAATGACTTTGTTTTGGCAAATATAAATAGAGGGATCTCTCTTAATGCACGTTATTGAGTATTGTATTAATGGGGGGAGACTGGAATAGGACTGTGAACGGGCAGTAGTTGATGGCTTATTCTTAGGACTCTACCACCAGTCTCTAAACCAGTAAATGTTGTGATTATTCTCAGCGGTGTTTCTCATCACTTCAGACTCCAGTGTCCTGGCATGACGCAGAAGTGGGGAAAGCCAACTCCAGTGCTCACAAGCGTTCTGCTTCTTGGGGTAGCACAGATCACCGCAGAGAGGTAAAATAGACTGCTCCCAGTGCTTGAGTAAGATCTGTGTTCGTTGCTAATGTATCGGAGGCTCCTGCTTGCATGGGAGGGGAGTGGGAGGACAGGACAGTACTGAAGATGAGACCTTAGCCCTTGTTCTCATCCCTAATGCTCTCTGATTCAACTAAAGACGGATCTTGTTGGCTTCCTCTAGCTGGTGGCTCTTGTAAAGTAGCTCCACTGAAACTCGGTGCATTGCTCGTCGGTGTCGTGGCGTAGGGGGGTTCCAGCGGGGCCTGGTTCCTAACCCACCGTAGGTGGAGGATAACCCAGACCCCCTTAGAGGAATGGCACTGGCCGTGTTGCAACAGGGGAGCTTGTGACGAGGCCTCGCCAGTACTTCTGGTCCATCCTTTGAGAGGTGGCCAGAGCTGCTGCTTGTGTGACTGAAACCGTCTCTATTTTGGCACTTCCGTGTGCGTTGGAAGAGAGGGGGGGAGGAGAGAGACAAGGCATGATCCTTTTTGGTGGAGGTGTGTTGGCTTGTCTGGTTCTGTAGCTGAAACTTTGTTTGCTAGATTGCCAAACTGAAGCAGCAGCTCCAGCGAACAAAGCTAAATGGCAGAAGTGGCAAAGAAAAGGAGAAGAGCTCCCCGCTCCAGGGGGACCACGCTGTCCTTGGATCTCTCAGGGTACGTTCACGTCTCCCCCTGCTCTGCTGTCACTGTATGTCCTCGTGAGGTGGAGAGCAAACTCCTTTGGGCAGGTGTCCAGGCTCTTCTCAGGCCTCTGCTCTCATGCCTGAGAAGGGAGAATTTTTTTTCTGTTCTCCCACCTCTTAAACGTGTCCCTGCGCTTTGATCTCCAGTTAGTTGAGTTTACATGACTCTGCTGTTAGTCTTCCACTGAGCCCTGGAGAGCTGTGGGAACAGAATGTAACTGCTGAGTTTGTGCAGATACAACTCTGACTTCTTTGATTCTGGATTGTTGCAGGACTCTCCTTCAGGCTTCCTTTCTCCATCTCTCGTCTTGAGGCTCAGCCCCTGCTTGCACAGGAGCCTGGAAGGGCTAAACCAGGAACTGGAGGAAGCGTTCGTGAAGGAACAGGGAGATGAAGAGCTTTTGCGGGTGAGTGAAGGCCACAGGATTGCCCTGAATCTTCTGAGTGGTCTTGGAAATCCTTTCCTCTAAAGACACTGCCCGTGTCTGTTTCTTGGCCATGGGGACAGTCCCTGTGTCTGGTTTTAGTTTGTTCTAGGCATGTAACTGTCTAAATTGGGTCAAGTGGCTGCTGGCTTCTCTCTTTCAAACTTGTTAGTGCTATGAGAGATCAGCCAGCAGTAATCTCAGGATGGATGACGCCTCATTGACAGCTTTAAGACACTATCTTAGACTGGCATCCAAAGGCTACTTTGTGCCGTGCGGATGTGGGAGAGGTGATCCCAGACGCCTTAGGGACCGAGGTGCGTTACAGGTACAGAAGGACCGATGTCCTCCTGGCTGCAGAAGGCTGCCTCGCTCCCTGCAGTGGAGGCTGTGCCTGTATCTGGATCCAGCACCCCCGGTAGCTGCTATCTGTAGGTGCAACTGCTGTTAAACCTCTTCCCTGCTGACAGGGCTTTCTTGTTCCTCTAAGACTTTGCTTCTTCCTTAGATATTGGATGTCCCAGACGGCCACAGGGCTCCAGCGCCTGCCCAGGGAGGCTCTGGAGATGCATCCCTGACTCTGGAGCCCAG